TTTTTTTTTTAATCCTAATCAATTCGTAATTACTTTATTTTGCATTATAAAAAAAGATTCATGTATATAAACATGATTATAAACTCCTAAGATTTTTTTCAAAACCGAGAATTTTTTATCAAACTTCAGGCGTTTACTTTCTCGTTTTATTCGGATCAAACAAGTTCTTGTATAAAGACGCGTCATGTTATATACCTCCACTGTTGAAAATAATGTCTCATCAAGTAATTACCGAACAAACCGATGGCGAACTGTATCAGACCGAGCGCCATGGCCTTGTCCCTGGGATCCACGCATCGCAGAATGAGCAACATGGAGCCTACCTCGCTAGTCGAATGGATAAAAACGAAGACCGAAAACAGGATCATATAAACCCAAAAGTTGCTGCACTCGAGTTTACAGTAACCGATCGTCGCCGTGCTGATGACTGCTTCCGGTACCGTGAGGTTCTGTCCGATGCATTGACAGTTATAAAACTGTGAAACACCAAATGTAACATTATCAGAGAAAGAAAGTTGCAATAAACAATATAATTTTTTGTTAATTCGCAATATATTTGTCGTTTGCTCATTTATTGGCCATTTTTTATTCCAAATTTTTAAAAATTGTTTTACATGTGAGTCAGTGCCTTTTTTTCTTTATTAAAATTTTTATAATTGCTAAATAATGTTCTGCCTCAAAATTAAGTTGCTCGTATATGTACTCAGAAATTTAAACACAATACTTTGATATTCAAAAATAAAAAAGAAGTGTCGAGTGCGTAACCCAAAATTAATCTTAACACAATAATGATACATGATAATAATATTAAATATAATCGGCACAGTAATACGATATATGTGTATTGCTATCTAAATATTTCATTTTATTCAAGAGCAAAAGACTCCAGAATTTTGTATTGTTTTCTGAAATGACTCGGCAGCAATCTCAATTTTTACGGTGTTTCTAAACTGATGACCGTTTCAATTACCATCGCGTATCCCGCGTAATTTCGTTCGAACAAACGTGTCATCACAGAGCATGTCCTATCCTGAGTGTTGGTTCTACTGAGCTTAGCACTTACCGATTCCACTTTGCCGTCGGAGACCGTATAATTCGAGCAGCCTGCGTGACACGCGGAGAAATACGTTCTACCATCCGCGCCGCAGATTGGACTGAACTTATTTCGGTCGCAGCCGCAGGTAGCCTCACAGGTCGGCTCGAAGCTGGAAAGTCTGCGAAAACGTCGATTTCGCTTTTCAAATTAAGCTTTAAATTAAAAAATAATTATCCCGGTATAATTCGAGCATATCATTAAACTTTTTCCCCCAGTGCAGTTTTATAATTTTTATATAATATAATATATAAATATGTAAATATAAGAGATTATATGTGATGGATACATCTTTATAGTATCCAGCAATTTGTAGCTGCTTAAAAATCAATTAAACTGTCAGCATTATTTAAATCCAGCCCTTAAATTACAAATCTATATTAAATTTTTTGCCCGTGTTTAATAAATGATAGCGGGATATAATGGTTTGTGTAATATTATAAAATGAACAAAGTTACGATCGAGGATTTCTTTGCGACTAAACAAAATGCCGAATCAGGAAAGCTCAAAATATATGTATGTGGAAGAACCGGAAGATATTGTTGACTTGTAAATAAGACAAGGGAGAGCGAAAAATTCTCTCTCACGCGTTTCCGATACATATATTTACGATGCGCATTCTAATAGGATACGTATTCGAACACGTTGTTTTTTGTTAAACATACGATCGACATCCGCCAGCTTTGCCGTTTACATATAGACAAAGCAGCAATCGCGAAATTTTTGTAACAATGTTACATGAGTTGGATGCTTTCGAAAAGATTGTTAACAATAAATAATTAAAATAATTTTATTTTTATGATCGTTAACGATACTATATCAAAATGTGACAAAGACTTATGTCATTTAATTTCAGATCGCAAAAAATCTTTAAGATATTTATGTTTTTGCGAATGCTAATATTATTTCAGATATCTTACTTTAATAATACGAATGAACACTATAATTTACACAAAAATAAAAAATTTTTTTATATATAATAATTGCTATTTGTCTCTCGGTAAAACTTTTTTCAACTTATTCATAATTTAAGAACCTGAATATTTCCTTCTCTAAGAGATCTGCATCAAGTATAATTGCGGAAGCAAATTTATTGACATACTTAAGTTTTATTAGATTCGATAAGATTTTTCTTACCCGTCGGGATGTGACACAAGCCCTGCGAAATCGTCCATCGGACAACCAATGAACATCAATACGCTCATGCCGATCGCGTAAACGACCGCAGTGAAGGCGATCCAGGCTGCGACGAACCTCGCGTTGGGCTTCGCTCTCAAGATAAATACGCCACTAATTATAATACCCAATCCCATAACTAGGATGCCGCCAACACCTGTGCAAAAAATCACGCTCATTATATCGTCGAAAGCCATTCACCTGGTAATTCATATTTTGCGTCATAGTCTAGTCATGGGAATCAAAGGATGACCACCATGACTTTATTTTAAAGCACATACATTTCATTAATAAAAATTTTACTTATTAAATAAACAAAATGTAGTTTTCCAATCTGAAAAGTGCAAAAAACTATGCTTTTTTAATATCAATATATTTATACAAAAGTAAAAAAAGATTCTAAGATTCTAGTAATAATAATAATTATTAAAACTATTAAAACTTCAAAAACTATACTGGCCAATTTTATTTAATTTTGTCTAATATCTTAAACGCACACACAATAAAAATATATCTTTAATATAAAGATTCTAAGATTCTAGTAATAATAATAATAATTATTATTATTAAAACTTCAAAAACTATACTGGCCAATTTTATTTAATTTTGTCTAATATCTTAAACGCACACACAATAAAAATATAAAATATTTATCTTTAATATTCACAAATTATTAAGTACACAGAAATAAAATTGAATGTAATGCTGAAAATTGATCGTAAAATGTTCGAAGGGATCAAGACGATCTACTTATACTTTCATTGGCTTTACATAACTTTATCGGGCGGCTATGAAATAATTCGAAATCAATATAATAGTATCGCGCAACAATACGGCGGATACTTCTACTAAATTATTCCTCGAATAATACAGCCATAGATTAATACTTGGGCGCAGAATGACGAGGAGTAGAATAGAGAAGCGGAGCGCAGCCTTGTTCTACGACCGGCGCCAATTCTCGACGAAGAACAATCATCATAAATTAGCGCGTGCGCGCACACGCACTCACGCACGTAGAATAAGGCATCATACAATTAATACTCGAGAAATACGCGAGTTCGTTCTACGGATTATATCACTTATTCACTCGCAACATTATAACTTCCGTATGTCATAAATTACTTATTAATTATAAGTAACATTCTTAAGAATACAAAAAAAAAATAAAAATATGAAATATCATTGCAAATTATTATATATATTTATCTTGAGTTATACGAAATGTTAATATAATTTAAGTTAAAAGTAAGAAAGGTAATTCAGTATAATTGACCGGCAAATTTCGCGTCGCAAGTTTCGGCGTACAACAAACGAAGTGAGAGAATAATTCTTTTCGGCGAATGGAATAACACGCCCGTTCTGTCATTTACGTCAAATTATCCACTTTACATCGTAATCGCGACGGACATCCGGCGGCAAAATCTTGCGACGTTGCCCGGCCGATCTTCCAGAAATTTTTGCTGTTATTTCGCACACGATTCATGTCTCTCACAGATCATTAGTAACAATGCAATTCAACAAAAAAATAACTCTTTTCTTAAACTGAGAAAAAAGAATTATTTAAAATATAATTTTGTTTTTCAAAATGCTCCGTCACATTTTTGAGAAATTTGATTTAAAAATGTGAGAAGAAATTATTTTAACGTATTTTGTTAAAATATTCACTTTTTAAATGGAATTTGCTGCAAATATTAAGATTAATAAGATTTTCGTAACTAAATATTGCGGAAAATTTATAAATTAAGCTATTGATCACGCGGACAATTGAATAAATATTTTTCAACTGTTTAATAAAACTTACTTTATTTTTCAAATAAACCATTTCTAAGATTAAATTCGTATTGAGAAAATTGCAAGGAAAAATTATTTTTTTCTCAAATTCCTTCTTGCTGAACTGTATAATTGAGTATACGTTCGAGATCCATGGGCCCCCGCTTGCATGTTCATTCGCGATAATTACCTGAGATCATGTTCGCATGATGAGCCGGCAGACGAAATTGGCTCTCGAGGTACTTCGGCAGGAAGGTGTAAAGACCGGCGATCGGCAAGATGTGCAGCACGCTACTCGCTGTTCTAAACATCAGTATGTCGTTCTTCAAAAGTCGTTTCACTGCACTCGGGAAATCTGCAACAGCGACAGCCAAAGTGTTATAGCACCAAGCACGTGTAAACGTAAAAATTAATATAATATAATTATCCGGTCAATTCACATAATTTATCGCATAATTATATTTGTCATGATGACAAATTGCAATTATCGTTGAAGAAATATTTATCATCAATTATAAAATAAACTATTTTTTATTTTTCTTATTGGAAAATTGCTGAAAAATAGATATAGATATATAAAACACAGCCTAATAGTAATAAATTATTCAGTATTTTTATTTTTATTTGGTAAACAAAAATATTTTTTTGCCCTTTAATTGAACGCTATATTGTTTCTTTGAAGTTTTGACATCAAGTATCTTGGTAACCATATATGCCTTCTATTTAATTGTAATCATCTTATCTAAGCAAATGAGTCTCGTATCATCATACATGCGACAGGTATACGGGTCATCGACTCAAGATATTACATGTTTCATGGGCGAAGGTTACGCGGAGCTTACATTAGCGATATCCTAGTCGCAATCCGGCTCTGCGAATGCATCACGACGAGCGAGATGCACACGCGTGGCCATGGTTATCTCTTATTAGTCTCGGTCTCGCCTGATCTCTCTGTCTCTACTCGAGCTGTATACTTATTCCCTACGAATCTGACGGAGTCTCCACCGCAATTCTCCGTATATTTACGAGCTCGATTACGAGGAGCGAGCTAATTAGCCCCGACGGTCTTCCTCTCTCCTCTCGTATTATCTTTCCTCAAGTATCTGAGAGAACTCGACGGTGGGCGAGGTGAGAGCGAGACTAAAGGAGAAAAAAGTCGCGCCGAGAGAAGGTAAAAGGAAAGAAACTTGCGCTGTACGTGATTCTGCATTATAGAACGTCTTTGGCAAATGATTTCGCGCCGATAAACGATTATTAATACGATTTCGATGAGGACAACGACGAGGTCGTTTACTGGCAGTTTCGCCTGACGTAAGTATCGGTGGAGATCGATGCGTCGCAGACGCATAGACTTTTATAAGCGCCCCTGCCAGACGAAGATATACCGCTCGGCCGACCGAACGTATTGACCCATTGAAATGGGTATATGTAGACCTGCTCGGAAACTCACTATAGTTCGCCGACAGTCTAGGCTCAACGATTAAGAAAACGTCTAAAACGTTCGAAATTATTATCAAGACTCGCCAAACGATTGCCCTCTTCCTCATGTCGATTTACGATCGAACCGAACAAGAGAACATTCACGTCTGTCTCTCTTCGCTTTCGATGAGCCGGGTAAATAGTAAAGCTTAAGATAAGAAACTCGTATCCTTTTAAATATCTGTTATAATGTAAATGTGTAGGTAGAAATGGCACTTTGAAATTAACTTGAGATTTATTTAATTTTAATAATCATCAAAATTTCATCGAAATTATGAAACAATTTTTTTTTTTAAATATTTCAAATAAAAAATTTGGATTACTAAAAATTCCATGTATTCCGTGTATTTTTATTCGTCAAATCCAAACCAGATTTATTGAAATCGAAAATCAAATCAATGAAGATTAATTTTCTCCAATTAATTAAAATTAAAATTATTTTTACAATTTTCTCATCCATAAGAAAAGCTAAATGAATATTTTCCCTTTCACAATTGTTTTTCTGTTCAAGGATTATTTTAATCTATCTATGCAGATAACTGCATCTCCTTAATCTAAAATCTAGAAAAATTTGTGTTTCCAAATGAAATTTATTCAAATTGGAAAAAAGGTCAAGGAGTTTATCTACTTTATAATTTATTCAGTCGAAAGAGAAACTAAATAAATATATATTTGATTTTTCTTTCTATTGAACGCGCTATGTTAATTTATCTACTCAGACCAGTCGAGCATCTTTTTCGCATGATACTATAGCGAGTGTACAGTATATGCGTAACCTTGTGCGTGCAAACGAAGCTACATGCCTAGGACTGCCTAGGAGTCTTCTAGGCATCCAAGAGAACCCAGCTAGAAGTCGTGGCAACCCCGCATAGGGACGTCCCACAGACCATGAGTAGACAAACGTGACTAACATTGAGCTCCGAGTATTATCGTACAGAATGCCCTTTAAAGGTCTGAACGTGTACGTTGTGTCGATCATTATAATATACATTCATTTATTTTGGACATATGATACGGTCTATCGATTTTGCAAATTTTCTTGTAAAATTAATAATTAATTAACATGCAAAAAATATATAAGTAAATTGATATGATCAATATGCAAACACACGTATATAGGCGTATATGCGTTATACATGTTGTAATTGCGTTCATCAAACTTAATGATTGTATAATAGTTGGACAGCAATTAAATTCGCCTACTCTCGTATACGTCCAATCAGCGAGATTAAGATACCACAAGACAGAATCTTCCAAACTTAAAAATTATTGTAAATTCGAGATATATTTAACTTTTATATTTATCACATACGCAACTGCGATAATTATAATTTACCATTGCGTCATTTACTTAAAAACTATATGTATACATATGTGTAAAACCGTGTATCCGGAGATTTGCGAAAATAAACTACGTCTAAAACATGACATTCAAATATTCGTCATAAATTAAAAACTCGCTTGAAACAAGATGTAATAATGCGTTCGATAATAAATAAAACACTAGATGCGAGTTAAAAAGTTGGACGCATTAAAAAAGACTTTTGCGTAGGCGAATCGCCAAATTAAGTGCGACGGTATGTAAATAATACGGCTTGTAGCAAACACATATATAAATGACGTAGAGAAAGAGAGAGAGAAAGAGAGAGAGAGAGAGAGGAAGAGACAGAGATGGGGTGGGGAAGAGGGCGAGAGAGACAGAACTTAAAAAAACAGAAAAAAAGAAGCAGAGTGAGAGACACACGCACGTTAGTCCGCGCGTACACGCGCAAAACGTATACGCACGTACGTGTCCACCACCGTCTCTATGCACGACGCGTGACCGTGAACTTGCCCCACCTCGGTGCACGAGTCGGTCAGTCATTATTATTAACGCACACACGCAGAGAAAGCGGCGGCGTGCGCGCGTACACACGCACGCGACGCACACGCGCGTGTAACGCACACGGGTGAATGCGCCATCCCCGCGCCGAGGGTCCGTTAAAGGAGCATCCGATGATTTCAGGGCTTTCGGAACAAGCTACAAGTTGTTGCCGAGTTGTACGGTGATTTGTGTAATTAATGAGGAATTTCAAAAATCTCGAAAGAGAAAGTGAATTTTATTTTTGGCTTGTATTATTTAAAAACATATATACTCTTGCGCGAATTAAAGAACAAGGCGATTTAAATGTGATTTGTTAAAGATCGAACGTATATATTTATGTTCTAACTCCTGAACAATTAAGCGAAAGATTTTTCGCAGTGATTTGACTGTATATAATTTTCTATTCACAACATAAGCATTGTGCTATAAAGACACAAGATATCTCTCGTAATTAAAATTAAAAAGTCGTTATAAACAAGTTTGCAGACTAGTAATGACTAAAACGAAAAAAGAGTTTGCTTGTTGAAAAAATTTAGTTTCGGCAGAAACCATCTTTAAATAATCTTTATACTTTTATGTCCATCTTCTAAGTACAGTGACAAATAAAATAAAAATATAGTTAAATTTACATAATTAAATCAATGGACTAAAAGAAAGTGGGTGCATTAAAAAAACATGTATCGTTGTCTTGATGCACACAAAAGAACGGATTACAGGCAAAATCATCGTGAGTTCCTGATTAACTTACGAAGAGCACATTGTCTCCGACTTTTATTTGCATTCTCGTTAACCTTCGATACTATGGCAAGTGGCAAGTGTGCAGAATTTCACCTTTCGGTGCGAACCTTTCAACAAGAATACTTGCTATTAACGGCAATCATGCTCCGCGTTTTCTTCAAAATAATTATTTCAATATCCCTATATATAATTTATACGCGTATACATGGCCATCTCGAATCTATCAGGCCATCATTAAAAAAACTTTGAGCTTTTTTCAATACGAACGCAATTATTTGTCTTAACAAAATTAAACATTTAAAAATGATATTTATATTAATTACAAGAAAATAGAATTTTTTGTTTTCGAAGTATTTATCTATTTTTAAAATTTTATTCACAGGATATTAATTTCTTTTTTAATCATTCTTCTTACTTAATAATCTTCTACTTCTATGCGATTTATTCGATTTTTTGCGATGATGCAATATTATCACGGGCAACGGTACGCCATAAATGTTCGCGCGAGTATAAATTACCATCAAATATCGAGGTATCACAATCGGAAATCACGAGTTGTAATCGCAAAAAGAGAGAAAGCAATGACGTATATTTACTGCCGTTACGTTTCAGCAACGAGAATAGACACATATCATAGCCAAACCGCGACACGATTACGCCAGTTATCTTTTTTTTTTCCGAGGACTTTTAGACGTTTCGCGCAGGAAATCGCGCGACAGAGAGACAATGAAGGAAAGAGAGACAGAATCTGCCACAAAGCAGCTTACGGCGAGTCATAAAAACAGATTAAGCTAATCCACGCGGTCGAAACGGCCGACTAGTCGGACCAAGAGCGATCGGAGCAATCCCCGAAAGATAAATCAGGACTTACCTCGAAGACTGGGCTTCTTGGCATCCGCTCGTCGAGGGGGTGTCCTGCTCTTCGGCAAGCGTGTCGGGAAGGCGAACATCCCAATGCTGACGAACATCAGCATTGCAGAGATGAGGACTAATCCTGAAACAATACGCGTTTGAAAAAAGATTTTCCAGTATTCTCAAAAAGTAAGTAACATCGTCTCGCGAACGTAATTCGCGGATTATAGTGAAACAGCGATTATTCGAATAAACTGGACAACAGTGATGCACTTTTCCTTCCCTCCCACTGTTATCGATTATCTGCGAGAGAAATACTTTTTGAGATAGAAAAAAAACGTGGTTTCTTTAAATGAAAAAAGTAAAAAATATTCATACGATGAGACTAACTTTAATTGGAAAATAATATATAATTCTATTTATATTATAACAGATGCACGCGCGCGCGCTTTCATCATAATAATTGTATATAAATTGTATATAAATAATTTATATATACAAATATTCTTAAACGTCTTTGGAAGATGCGTAGGTAATGTATATAAAATTGAGATGCTCTCTCCTAAGTTTTATGACATATTAAAATAACATAAAGATTATATATTGTTTATATATTATTTTAACATACACAACTTATACATACGTAACTTACATTTCAAGGAGTTCTTCCATTTCCTTTTTCTCTTCTTCATCATCAATTGACTTCATCATGCTTATGACTTCTTTTTGTGCTTCTTTGATATTTATTATGTTCTTTATTTCATTCCCCATTTTTCTATCAATTTGTTGTCTTACCATCACATCTATCGCCTTAAAATTCTTTAATATCGCTTCTTCAATAATTATTCGTAACTCATTTTCACTAAGTGAGCGTGCAGGTACTGCGTTACATTGTTTTCTTTCTAGGAATCTTTCAAATTTAGAAATAATAATTTTAATTTCTATTACTGGTACCTTCGTTGTACGAGAAATTTCATACACTGACATACCAGAGCAATGCATATCAAGAATGTCTAGTTTTATCGGTTTTAGTTGATCGATATATTTACACGTTCCGCTCATTTTTTTTACTCTTTTATTATTTTTAGTGATTTGACTTGACAATAGTGTCTTTGACTTTTTTATGCGTTGTATCGCGTGCGTTTCGAAATCTACTTATAGTAAGCTCTTTCTCGAGAACTGCAATTTTCTTCGTATTTATCTTGCAATAATTATTTTGCTTTACTCTTCAAGTAATTGATCGTATAATCTTTGTTAATTTTCCGTGTATAAGAATCAATTCCCTCTTTTTCACGTATTGCATTTATCCATCATATCTCTAATGATTGTTCTTCATTTCTTTATAATATATGAATTTTGTACACTAATTTACACTTATTATGTCACATAATAACTTTGTTTCTTTTTCGTCATTCTTCAAAATCGTTGAACAGTCATATCCTTGAATTTACTTATAATGCTTGTTACTGTAAGGCTTGTGCTGCCTTTGAAATGACTTGTTATTATCCATTCTAACATGCGACATTCTCGTGTTTATCTTTCGTATTTTCTCATATGATATACGAACAAATTATATAAATATTTATTACGCGTCTATTTCTGTGCATCAGAAAATTTGTTTTTTTTTTTTTTTATTAATATCTTCAAAAGACTAGCAGACATTTTAATTTTATCCATATATAATCAAATCTAAGGACGTTTAGCAATAAGTATTATCGGCAGATACATCGACAATAAACAAAAATTTATAATTAAAATCGTATGAAATATTTAAATAGAAGTTAGTTATTGTATAAATAGAGGAAATTATTATATTCGAATAATCGCTGTTTGAATAATTGATTGTATAATATCGCATCTGAAACTAACTCGCTCGCATCCGCTGTCACATTTGAAAAATTATTTTTTATGTCGCCGAACATCTTTCAATGTAACAACAAGTACAAAAGACAAAGCATGGCTACGTAACAAAAGCAGATAGATTTATGCAATGCTAACTACGCAATTTGAACGATGAAGGTCGAGCGATTTTTAGCTCCAAGTTTTTTTTTTAACTTTCTAGTTGGAATCGAAGGTTAAATGCTTTATTAAAAATCATAAAAGGTCAATTATATACTCGATTTTATAAGCTGAAACGAAACTTTTTGCGAATTTTTCGTTTCAATGTAATCAGCTTAGAAAAAGAATATTATCGTTCCTTGGAATTAAGTTAGCCATCATCTTCGATAAGTATTACGATTCATAAACTTACCAAGCCACCAAGCACCGACCCATCTTGGATCCGTCGGCGTGATTTGTGGAGTCCTTGTCAAGTCTGCATAGACCATCGTGCATAAGGAACCCAGAATGAAGCCTAATGCTGGACCGAGAATCCGCACCCCGATGGTGATTGCTATTGCACAAAAGCAAATGGTGTTTTCAAATCTATGTTCCACATCACAAACAATAATCTCTTTGGAAAATAAATAAATAAATTTTCATATTACAAGAATAATAATTTATATTATAATAATAATAATAATTTATATATTGAAAAATTATTAAGTGTTTTTCCAATAAAATTTAATAAATGTAAATATTCGAATAGCTTAAGTAAGTAGAAAACTGATTCTCATTAAAAAGAACATTAATATCTGTGTGTACGATATATTACAATAAAAAATATATAAGAAAAAAGACAGATAAGAGTAGTCACTCTTGCAAATTGATAAGGAAATTTACCGAAATATAAAGGGCTCTCTCTGCTGGCCACGTTGTCGTCGATGTACGGTATACCGAGAGTATACACCGCCGTTTGACCCATTCCTACGCCGAGCAATGATACGAAAAATATCGCAAGCACCACCGTGGTTATCTTGCTCTGTATTCTCTGCTCCATGAGAAAATCACCCTCGCAATATTCCGCCGAATCGGTGTGCGATCCGGCCGTCGATATATTCCATCTTCAAGAAAACAGGACAAAAATATAATAAAATTAATCATAAAGCATTATATTTTTTACTTCAACGAGAATGCCTCGATATAGACATTAACACAAATATTACTTAATTTTAAATAATCTCTTGTAATATATACTTGTATATTATACTATAAAAAAATAAAAAAGCAAATGCATTAGAGTAATATTATAGATACCATGTATTTATGTGTCAGAAATTTAAAAAATTAAAACTAATTACAAAAGAGAGAGCAAAGAGAGAAAGAGAGATAAAAGATTTATTGTAAATTGATAACTAAAAAAAATTTCTGATCTTTAGGACATCAAATTTTATATAATCATCACATCCATAAAACCAATAATTTTAGAATAATATAAAAGTTTCTGAGATATTAGCATTCACAAAAAATCTGCCTTCTCTCTTCTGCAAATCTCTGTATTTATATACATACAAGTGTATTAGATAAATTAATATCGCATATTATAATATGTATCATTACCCAAATCTACCACCGATAACTATATCCTATTTCATGTTAAAATATATAATCAACTATTTCCGGAACTGTATCAGAAAACTGACGCCCACGTGGAACGACCCGAATGCGCGGATATGCGATCATTTTTCTTCGCGTGGCGATAAGTGCAGCTGTACACTGTGTAATGCACAATGATCCCGTGATATCAGGAAAATGTAATTGACACCGTTCTATTTTATTAGCATGAAATAATTCTCTCTGCTGGCCACGTTGTCGTCGATGTACGGTATACCGAGAGTATACACCGCCGTTTGACCCATTCCTACGCCGAGCAATGATACGAAAAATATCGCAAGCACCACCGTGGTTATCTTGCTCTGTATTCTCTGCTCCATGAGAAAATCACCCTCGCAATATTCCGCCGAATCGGTGTGCGATCCGGCCGTCGATATATTCCATCTTCAAGAAAACAGGACAAAAATATAATAAAATTAATCATAAAGCATTATATTTTTTACTTCAACGAGAATGCCTCGATATAGACATTAACACAAATATTACTTAATTTTAAATAATCTCTTGTAATATATACTTGTATATTATACTATAAAAAAATAAAAAAGCAAATGCATTAGAGTAATATTATAGATACCATGTATTTATGTGTCAGAAATTTAAAAAATTAAAACTAATTACAAAAGAGAGAGCAAAGAGAGAAAGAGAGATAAAAGATTTATTGTAAATTGATAACTAAAAAAAATTTCTGATCTTTAGGACATCAAATTTTATATAATCATCACATCCATAAAACCAATAATTTTAGAATAATATAAAAGTTTCTGAGATATTAGCATTCACAAAAAATCTGCCTTCTCTCTTCTGCAAATCTCTGTATTTATATACATACAAGTGTATTAGATAAATTAATATCGCATATTATAATATGTATCATTACCCAAATCTACCACCGATAACTATATCCTATTTCATGTTAAAATATATAATCAACTATTTCCGGAACTGTATCAGAAAACTGACGCCCACGTGGAACGACCCGAATGCGCGGATATGCGATCATTTTTCTTCGCGTGGCGATAAGTGCAGCTGTACACTGTGTAATGCACAATGATCCCGTGATATCAGGAAAATGTAATTGACACCGTTCTATTTTATTAGCATGAAATAATTTTTTTTTTTTTTTTGTATATTAGTATTGTCTCGTATATATTAGCAAATGAATAATTAAAATGTTCTAATTTTATACTCTCGATCTTACTCTTCCAACAGCGGCATTTAAAAGATCTAAAGGATCTTTGTGGTAATGTAAAATGCGCAATTCGTTTCGTTAGTTGCCTTCGGGTCATAAACCGTTGGTGCATCTCTTACAGAAATGCAACGCAAACCGGTTTTTGTACAATACGATTTTAAGGCAAAACTCTATTACTTTGGCGTATTCCACCTTATATCGCGTGTTTACGGCAAACGATTATATCGTATACCTCTGCTTAAAACGATAATACAACTGACCATTTTCATACCGCCTTATTCTTCCATGGGACACATTGTAATCAACAACGATCATAAATTTTCTTCAATCGTGTCATAAACGTTTTTCCATTGACTAATAAACGAATATAAATAAATGGGCATGTTCTTTCATGGCTTATTAGGTAAAGAAAATAAATTAAGAATATAAATATAGTTATAATGATTACATAATGAGAGAAAAACGTTTCAGATAGATATATTAAAATGATTTATGATTTGCAACACGCTTGTTTTTAATTTTTATGCCTTTTTTAAAAAAGATAATCTATCCAACTCTTCAAATTACTATATAATAATAAACTGGCTAAAAATAACCGATACAAATCTACTGATAATATTAATCAAACTGATTATACGATTGACTTAATTGAATTAAACGCCGCTAATTGATAAAACAATTGCTAAAAATGGTGCAAAATTTAATTTAATTAAATAACTACAACTAATAAATTCTAATTCTCTACTGTTTGGTGATCACTACTATTAAGCTAGCTACTATTTAATCACGAAGGTTAAAGCTAATGAAGACATTTTTCTTCATTATGATGAATTGCCGTCCTTTGTCAAATTTAGCCGGGAGGCGTCACTCATTAAGAATCTACGAATAGCGGAAGATAACCCGAAGAAGAATTATGACAGCATAGTACTCACCCGTCTAATGTGCCGTTCCTTTCCGGGAACTTGCAGAGATTCGCCGGTATGGGATCAGTATTGTTAAGCCCGCGGCCGTCACCGCCGGGCTCGATGCCGCTGAGCAGCATCTCGTTTTGAAGAATCAGCTGTTCACCGAAGATAAAGTGAGGTAACGAACAGGTGAACGAGCTCACGGCGAAGAGGATCATGCCCCAGGCTATCCACTTGGGCCGGTGACCTTGGCCACCATAGTACGTAAGTAATAGGGACGATCCGATCTGACCGATCTCCGTGGCCGACATGATGATGCCCGTCGTCTTCGACTGGATCTGGAAGAGCTTCTCTATTGTCGTGATGACGGAGACGAAGTACGTATAGTACATGCCCTGAAGCACCTGTATATCGACAAAAAGAATAAAGATATTTTACGCCAACTCCAGCAAGATGAATATGTCAATTAAGAGTACCATCAAAAAAGCTCAAAAAATATTTAATTTCTGTCCCTTCGCTTCCAAAAAAAAAAAACCATTTGTAATTCTCTATATGAAAGATACGAAAATCAGATCTGATACGAAAATGATAAAATCGCTTGTTCGATATACTGACCCAGGTGAGGCAGAAGGTCACCAGGAAAGCTTGCTTCGTAGCAAAGTACTGCAACCAATGGGGCCTACAGGGACCCCATCCGCAGGAAATATCGGCATCGTCGAACTCTGTATGAAGGCTACTCGATCTCTCGTCCGGCATGATCAGCTTGCCGTTCTCCGCGGCGCCGATCCCGCCGTGCAGCTTCCCGTTCGGTATCGAGCCGTTGTTGTTGTGCTGCTTGCCGCCGCATATTAGCCCGTTTCCGTTTGCCATCTTCGGAGGAATGATCGTCAAGACCTCCACGTTACCGTTTGACAAAATCTGCGTGTCCTCGCCTGCCATTATTCTTCTCTTTGCGCGATACGGTCGCTCCTCCTGCGTCTTTTGCAACTTTACTAAGTTCTAGCCGAGATTCTTCCTGGAAACCTCTTAGCCGCTCAGAAAGTTGATATTGAAATGATCAATCTGTAATCAGAAGTAAAAAAGACGTTAGACATATATATAATAAAAAAACAAGACGATTGTGAAATTGTGAAAGATGCATTTCTTCGTAAAATTAATGTGTGATCTTTTTAATAATCTTAATATTTTTAAGATATATCGATATTTCATAAATTGTCGGAATCGTTGATAATTTTCGGCGTTTATAATAATCATCATCTTAACTATCAACTCTCTCTACGCGATTTAATCCGTTCATTAATCTACAATGTAGAGCACATTTGTATCAATTCGCGATCTGTCTTAGGCGAGAATCCGTATATTTAATAGAACTTACACAAATATATTTTTAGATAATTTAGACGTTACAAAAATTATTTATCATTAAAAAATTCCATTCATTCTGTGTGAACCTTACTTAGAGTAAATCAAGTCTCTCTTGTGTCTTTTTTGCGACTCCATTTAGTCTGATCCAGATCAAACAAACGAGCACAAATAAATATCAACAAATAATCGTGAAAAAGCGTTGATTTTTAAATAGTTTTGTATAAAAATTTGTGTGTGAAATCATTTTTTTCAAATATATTTAATTACAAATAACGCTTATTTGCTGATTTAACCCGGTTTTAGAGATAGACCCCTTTCTCTCGCGATCGACTGTGGAATATCATCTGCCTGAGAGACACCCTGTAGTCGGCGTCCTCTCACTTTCATCGGTGCCCGACTTTCCTCATTTCCCTCGCGTTCCATTCTACGGGCTATCGCATCGGTGCGGTTTTCACTGACAGCATGAGTAGGAGTTTGTGCGCTAGAACGTCGCGCTACAGCTGAATATGTATGATAGCGAAGACGCGTTCTCACTTTCGCTTTGGGATTTCTTCGTAGTTACACGCCAACTTACGCGTTCGAAAACATGTATTCTCGTAACGCACAGATCCGCTTCTTAATTTGTAAGATTAGAGAAGTACGAACGTAATTAATATGCTACAAGCTTGAAGTTAGAAAATTTGATTGTATATTCTACCCTTTTAAAAATACGAAAAAGATTGCCTACAAAAACATGGTTCCTATAAAAATAATTTCAAATATCCTTGAAAATTAAATTTGTTTAAAATAGAATTTTTATCGAATAGAAGTTTGATTTTTATTACCCAGTTTCTGCATTTTGATGTGTAATCTTAAACTTTTAGCTTACACAATCCTGCATTTTCGAATATTATTCCTATCTATGTCAAAAAACTAAAACATACTTTGAAGTATGGTATACTTTGATTCGGTATTAGTATTAGAGATATTATGAACAGATATAAGATAACTTTTCCTATATAAAAATAATATGATTTTGATTGCTCTTTCCAAGATAATAACATGTTTTACTAAGTATTATACTTATTGATCATTTGTTATCACTTTACAAATATAATTTTAAAATATAATTATACCTATAATTTTAAGATAGTAATACTTACTATACATATATATTATCTTAAATTCAAAATAATATACAATTATCAATAATAAAAGAACAACAAATCTAATGATTGAATGCTCGCGGAATTAATCGTTACTTTCAATCGTAGAATCTTCCAAAGCAGATATATATACTCGCAGTTTGATCAACCAGCAATGCTGAATAAACAGCGCGGAAATTGCGGAACATCATCGCGTGCGTTAGCGAGCGGATTTTATATCATCGTTAATGGCTTAACGACGTATGGTGGCTGACCCCTAAAATCCTGTCTAAGAATACGAATCTGTTTACGGTGCTACGGCGCCGTTTCTACGCGCCATTGACCCTATAACATTCGCCATTCACTAGCATGCACTGTGCGAGCATGAAAATTAGGATGAAGTTCGCGGCCGTCTTGAAAACAGATATAGATCTAGTGTCTGCGTGTTAATCAATGAGCATATCTTATCATTTTATGTAATATTACAAAATCGACAATCTCTTATTTTCCATATATCTTTAAATTTCAAAATTGCATTTAATTTAATTATTCTCCCCTATATATTCAAATGATAATTATAAATAATTATCAATTTTGGGAAAAAATTTGCTGTCGAAAAAATTTATAACAATTGACACACGATTAGCATAATTATATCTTGACATTTCGATCAAAATTATATCGCCGTTGAAATGATTTCTCTCCTGGAACGCAGACTTAGACAGACTTTCTTTTTTCGACGACCAAGGAGGTAATCGAAAATTGTTATTTTTATCTTCGTATACCGTGCTTTTCCCACAGCACGAGTCGGGGGGCATCGAGAGAGAAGTTGCAATCTCGCAACGAGAACGAAATCGAAAGGACCGACTCTCTCGTCGCTTCGAACGGTCGGTTGGTCGCGATGGCGAAATTCTGCGAGAGCGCGTTTTTGTCGATCGTAAATCCTTTTCGGACAAGTCGCCGCCCTTACCCCACCGCGCCACCGCAGAGTGAAAATCTTCTGTACAGAACCAGCTCCGACCCACAAATATATCACGAATGAATCAGTCGCAAAAATCAAGTTGAGAGCCGCGCGTGTTAGCAGTTCTAGTCGCTTAAAACAATCCTAAATTTTTCGTAGTTGAATTAATTAAAAAATAAATAAATTTGCAAAGTAACAAACAAATATCTATATATTATTTAAAAAAGCATTTTTAAAATTCTAGAAATCGCGTTGATTATTATTCAATCTCTCTTATTTTTCTACGAATTAATAAATATTTCGTCTATTTTTTTCAGATGCAGATTCAGATACGCGCGTCCAAACGATAGTAGGACTAATTATAATAAATTATAATATAAATATTATAGTTAGCATATAAATAAAAATATATACAACTTTTGTACTTTGAACTGTCACATCGCCGCATTAAAATTTATTGTGCATAACACTGCGTATTGCGGCGCAAAAGAAAGACAGAATCAAATAAAATTGAGATCAAACATAATGATACGCATACATAATGCTCTTTTACTTTCAAATAACTACCTAATATCAAATACACGCTACCAAATGTGCCCTCCAGAATGCGTCGGTGTCCGTCATTACTAATACATAGTATACATAACCGCAGGGTCTTTCATATGAAAACGTGACTTCGTCTATCCATTCCTGCGTGCGGCGTAGAACCAGGTGCGATGACGCAATTACAGGGAAGAAATTTCCGGTAATAAATTATCTCTGGTATGTCGCCCGTAGGCTTGAATGGAGACTCTAACATTTTGTAACCGTTTCCCAGGAAAGCCCACACGCGGCCAGTAAAGATAAAGAAGTTCGCAGGCGACATACAGCTGGCCAGAATGCAACGCATTCGAGAAATGACGCATTTTTTTCCGCAAAAATCGAACAGCCGAGATAAATTAATAAATGGCGAAAGCGGAGACAACGCCCGTAAAGTTATTTAACGCTGGACATAAGGTGTCCGACTCGGTCGGGAAAGGCCCGCGGCTAAAATAATTTAACGTTAAAACATTAATGGCGCTTTAAACTCTACTTCCGACAGCGAGGCCGTTTAAAATATCCCTGCAAAAGCTAACGGCGACTCCCCCGTTGCAACTCTATTTTTCCCTCACGATACGCACATCGGCGAGCGCATCGGCAGCATGCGTGTGGATGCTGACACGCGCCGCACACGCGCTGCTAAACACACGCGCGCAGGACACGTGCGTCTCTTTCTCTCTCTCTCTCTCTTTTTCTCCCTTTGCATCTCCCTATATCTTTCTCTCTGTTAAGTTCCAACGTTGCACTGAGCGCGGCTGGAGAGAGACTTGGTCTAGGTCGCCTTTCACTGTCCTACTGACGTGGTCTCGTGGTTAGTTGGTTAGCCTATTCTGCTTAGGTTACACCTCAATGCCAGCGTGTAGCACGTTGTCATACAGAGCGATTCAAAAGAGATCCTTTCGTCATTGGCCACGTGACCCAGTATCGTTGATGAGTCGATTATGATCATCCACTATCGCAAATATTTTCGACCGATATTGAAGTGAATCGACTCCAAATTTACAAAGCTCGCTTGAAATACAAGATATTGTGTCTAAAGGATATATTATAAGCTTTCATTTTAATTTACATATAGATATTAAATTAGGATATTAATATTGCATGGATATAAAATTATTTAAAATAGCATTTATTGTTTTCTTATCATATACTAATGGATTAAATGTAAATTTCAAATTTTTTGATCGATGGTTATCAATTTTATTAATTATTAATTTTTATTGTTAAAGCAGTGCGTTGTATAATTAGAAACATGATTATCAGATCACGTGACAAAAAATTATCATTAGAGATAATCTGGATATGGGTCGATATATTTAAATCAACATCGAGGTTTATGAATTCCGTTTTTATAGTAATATATCTAATCTCACTTTTAGAACTAGAATATCTTTGCTGAAAAGAGAAGTATAATCGCTATTAATGACTATAATGATAAACTCGACATTCTCTCTATCAAAGACAAAAATTGCTGTTTAAAACGTTAACACGCACTTACGTGACACCGTTCTCCCAGTTGCAGCCATAATCGTTTATTGAAAGAAAAACCATTAAAACATTCTCATATTCGTACGGTATCCATTTCGTAATTTATTAATTGCGCTTTCAATTTACATATGTACGGTTAAATGAACCGTACATGGTAATGTCAGTATATCGAGTGATCAAATTTATCAATTTAATTCGAAAAGGAAAGCGAGATCGATCCGCGTTGAATCAAATTAATAATTTATCATTTACAACGCGCGAATGATAATCAATCTCTCATTGAGCCATGTTGCAAAGATTTTCAGATTATGCAATACTAAACTTTAATTTCAATTCTTATTGTTTGCGTTTATTTGAAAGCTCTCGTTATTTATGTGAATCTCTAATCGCTTGTCTTCGATAAATGATTTCATTGGTAAATTTAATTGCTGATCTACAAATTTCTGTTGAATGACCTCTTTTCGTTTGTAATTTTATTTTACGATCTGTAAAGTCCTCTAATTAAAATTTTTATTATAATTTTGATTTGCAATATCGCTTTTCTT